CCATGTTGAAAAGCAATTTGGCAATATCTGATAAAGTTGAAAATGCTTATACCGGGTGGCACCTGTGGCTCAAAGGAGTAGAGCACTGACCCCATATGCTGGAGGTGACAGGTTCAAACCCAGCCCAAGTCAAAAACTGCAAAAAAAAAAAAAAAGAAAGAAAAAAAAAGAAAGAAAAGAAAAAGAAAATGCTTATATCCTACAATGAGTGAAAAACGCACAAACACTTTAATGATATATTGAGGCTGCACACAGCAGCAGCTCATACCTGTGATTCCATTGCTTTGGGAGGCCAAGGCAGAAGGACTGCTTGAAGTCAGGAGTTCAAGACCAGCCTGAGAAATATAGCAAAACCTCATCTCTACAAAAACTAGCCAGGTGTGGTGGAATACACCTATAGACCCAGGTATTTGAGAGTCTGAGTCAAGAGGATTTCTTGAGCCCAAGAGTTTGAGATTGCAGTGAGCTATGATGACACCACTGCATTCTAGCCTGGATAGCAGCAAGACTCTGTCTCAGAAAAACAAAACAATGAAAAACTGAACATATTTTATTTCTTTAAAAAGATTTAGTCCAGCATTAAGTTTAGAACTGAAAAAAGAAATATTTGAATAGTATAACAAAATCTTAAGGTTTGACTAACTGCATGGTAAGCATACAGTTCTATATTATTTCTAGTACTTTTCTAAAGGTTTGAAATAATTCATTAGCTGTAAAGTTATATGTATTCATTGTAAAAAATATTTCAGATATTTGGGGGGGGGGGCGTTTGCGGTTTTTGGCCGGGGCTGGGTTTGAACCCACCACCTCTGGCATATGGGGCCGGCACCCTGCTCCTTGAGCCACAGGCGCCACCAATATTTCAGATATTGAAGAAAGGTTTAAAGAAAATAAAAATCACCATAATCAAATAATAATAACTGTTAACATTTTGTTGGCTATCCAGACATTTTTTTGGAGACAGTAGAATGTCGTGGTGTCGTAGTTCATAGCAACCTCAAACTCTTGGTCTCAAGCTATTCTCTTGCCTCAGCCTCCAGAGTAGCTGAGACTACAGGTGCCCTCCACAATGCCAAGCTATTTTTAGAGACAAGGTCTCACTCTGGCTCAGGCTGATCTCAAACCTGTGAGCTCAGGCAGTCCACCTGCCTCGGTCTCCTAGAGTGCTAGGATTATAGGTGTGAGCCACCACGCCTGGCCATATCCAGACTTTTCTCTAAGCATACACATATATACAGACACATTTCTTTAAAAGCAAAGCAAAACATTTCATTGTTTCATTTTCCATTTTATTTAATATATTGTGGAAATCTCAATATATCTACATTGATCCAGGAAAAGAATTTAATGACTGTATAGTATTCCTTCCTATGTCTAAATAATAATTTAACTGGTCCACATTGATGCGCCTTTGGGTTGTTTATATGTTTTTGCAATCAAATAATGCTTCAAAAATAATTCTGCACATAAATATTTTCTCATTTTCTCTGATTATTAATAATCTCTGATTATTTCCTTAGGGAAATTCCTAGGAGTGGGAATTTGGGTCAAAAAATATTCACTTCAGGCTCGGAGCCTAAAGCTCAGCAGCTAGGGCGCCAGCCACATACACCAGAGCTGGCGGGTTCAAATCTAGCCCGGGCCTGCCAAACAACAATGACAATTACAACCAAAAAATATCCGGGCACTGTGGCAGGTGCCTGTAGTCTCAGCTACTTCTACTGAAGCAACAGGATCCCTTAAGCCCAAGAGTTTGAAGTTGCTGGGCTCTACCAAGGGCGACAAGATGAGACTCTGTCTCAAAAACAAAAAAATACTCACTTCAGGCTGTACCTGTCCCTCAGTGGTTATGGCACTGGCCACATACATCTCGGCTGGAGGGTTCAAACCCGGCCTGGGCCAGCTAAAATCAACAATGACAACAGCAACAACAACAACAAAAAAATAGTCACTTCAAAAACTTTTTTTTTTTGGTTTGGCACCTGTAGCTCAGTGAGCAGGGTGCCAGCCACATATGCCGAAGGTGGCGGGTTCAATCCTGGCCTGGGCCTGCTAAACAATGACAACTACAACCAAAACGTAGCTGGGGATTATGGCAGGCACCTGTAGTCCCAGCTACTCAGGAGGCTGAGGCAAGAGAATTGCTTAAGCTCAATAGTTTGAGATTGCTGTGAGCTGTGAGGCTACAGCACTCTACTGAGGGTGACATAATGAGACCCTGTCTCAGAAAAATAATAATAATTTTTTTCAAGCTTAGTGCCCATAACTCAGTGGTTAGGGTGCCAACCACATAACACCAGGGCTGGTGGATACGAACCTGGGCTGGGCCTGCTAAATGACAATGACAATAAAAACAACAACAAAGTCAGGCATTGTGGCAGGCATCTGTAGACCCAGCTACTTGGGAGGCTGAAGCAAGAGGTCGCTTGAGCCCAGGAGTTTGAAGTTGCTGTATCTGTGACACCCCGGCATTCTAGCCTGGGGCAACAAAGTGATACTCAGTCTCAAAAAAAAAAAAGTTTTTTTAAATTAAAGATGGGGTCTTGCTGTCTCACCCAGGCTGGAGTATAGTGGTTGTCCATAGGCATGATCACAGTACATTACAGCTTTGAACTCCTAAGCTCAAGTGATCCTCCTGCTTCAGCCTACCTGTAGCTGGTACTACAGGCATAAGTCACTAGGCCAAAATATGCACTTTTCAAAATCCAAGGCTGAGTTGTTTTTTGTTTTGTTTTGTTTTTTGTTTTGAGACAGAAACTCATTATGTCGCCCTCAGTAGAGGGTCGTGGTGTCACAGCTTACAGCAACCTCCAACTCTCGGGCTTAAGTGATTCTCTTGCCTCAGCCTCCCCAGTAGGTGGACTACAGGTGCCAGCCACAATGCTCGGCTATGTTTTTTGTTTGTTTGTTTGTTTGTTTGTTTATTTGCAGTTGCCACTGCTGTTTTAGGGGTTGAGCTGGGTTTAAACTTGCCACCCTCTGCATATGGGGTCAGTGCCCTACCCACTGAGCCACAGGCACCACCCATGAGGTTTTGTTTTTGTTTTT